CCTTCCTGTTTGATGGTGTCCATCTGCTTCCTCTTTATGCACTGCACCCCGCCTCCCCAACCAAATGATTGAAGGCTCTTCTGCGCCTATCCCCCCTCCGAATCCTAGCCCCCCCCCCCTCGTTGATGAGAGATCTGCTCGCATGCTGCTGATGGGTTGGAGTTCGCTGCCAAAAGTTCTCAGCCCGCAAGGAATATCCACAGGCAAGCAGGCTTTTCATCTATTTTTCTATTTAATTTTTCTCTCCCTCCCCGTGTGCCCTTCAATTGACGCCACCAGTGAATTCTTTGCCGGTTAACTCGACATCACATCGCACATATCGTGTCGCATCGGACAACTCGACTCGACACAGAAGTGAACAAAACAGGCATCGATGCAGTCAGCCAATGGCCATTGGGTCCTCGATATAAACGCATTGTCGAGATCCACTCCGGCCTGGTGATTCCGCTCTCACCCAGGCCCGCCCGCACCACATGAACCTTTTATTTGAAGGTCGGGACCGATAGGTTAACTCTAATTATCGAGAAATAATTGCGCAATACGGTGCTTTTACCGTATGATTGACACCCGATAATTACTTTTTCTTTTCTCATTTTTTTCCTTCCCCTACATCCTTTACCATTTCTGTTCTTCATCCGATTCACCTAAATCCGAAGGAAGGAAGGAAGGTCAGCCGGAAGTGAAAAGCCATGATGACTATGATGGATCAGCCTCACGAAAAAGAATCCTACTGCTCTCAATTCAAATGGTGAAAGGGGAGAAAAAAGAAAAAAATTCCCGCAAAGCAGCAGGTGAAGAAATGCTACGAATTAAAAATAGAAGAAATACGATACATCGATCATGTTTTGATGGAAGAAACTTTCTCAACGTTTCAACCCGCTCCCCGCAACGCACCAGCAGCTCCTAAACCCCGAAGTATTCGCCCCCCGCCACCCCCTCCTCCCTCTCTACTCTAACTGCACGTCGGTCCCTCTGCAGCGACCCAAGTTAGTACGATAGCAAAGGAAGGATCTCTGGGGATGACAAGGGCACTCAACTGTACAGTACTAATATCATACAACCACCACACCACCACCCCTCCACCCCTGCTACGGTACTCACCGCTGGGCCGTTTGACCGACCATACCATGCTATTCCATATCATCCCATCCCATGCCATGCCATGCCACCGTCCCATATCGCAGCGAGATGGGCCACCAGACAGAAAAGAGCATATCATACAGTCCAGTAGGGAAAGAAAGAAATAACCACCTGAAAAAAAGTCCTGGTGGCAATTGACTCCTCCGGGTAGTCCTGAAGCAGACGGACAGAATCTAACAAAGTAAGTTAGGAGTAGGTACGGTACGGTACCGGTAGTGGATCGAGCATGACATGCATGCTCAGCACGCACGCAATACCAGCACCCCATCAGACTATATCACCCCTATTGCTATTATCAAAAAGCAAAAAGAAAAATCGAAAAAATCAAAATTCGGCCTACTGGTAGCCCTTTTTCATAAAAACACAAAGTTATCGACTGGGTAAGTATGACTAAGCTTTCCTCTTCCTCTTCTTCCCCAGGGCATTATTTTACTTTTTTCTCTCCTTTTTTCCCCTTGTCATCCCCGTGAATATTCTCGAGCAGATGTGTGGGTGTGTGGGTGCTACGGTACAGTACCTGTACCGTACTAGTACTAGTGCTCTCTAGTCCAGTACTAGTACTCGAACGCAGTACGAGTACTACACTACACTTTACGTGTACTATACCCCATGGACACACAGGAATTGGTTTATGGTGTGTGTGCTGCCGCCCGGGTATTTCCCTGGCCAAGTGCGCAACGGGTTAGACCAACCCGTGTTATGCACCTTCTCGCGAAAGGAGAAGTCCTTCCAGGAAGTCCCAGAATATGGCAGGATGGGGGCGGGGGGATGTGGTACCGGTACCGGTACCGTAATTAAGAAAAAATGTCCCATGATGCTGGTCGTTTGGGCTATATTGTACCACTCGTTATCGTAGAGGGTTTCGGAAGGGTTCGTTCCGGTGGATTACGGTATTTGCGGTGATTGGTTAGTAAGAGGTATGATATGGTGTAGAGTACAGTACCGTACCGTACCGCACAGTACCGGTATATGTGATTTCTTTCAAATATGGGTAGGATCATGCAGTACTTGTACCCGTAGGTAGGTAGGTAGGGAGGACATCACGTTTCCTGAGTGGATGTATGATGCTGCGCTGTGCCGTGTACAGTATATCGTGCCGTATGTATGATACTAGCACCGTACCCTACAGTTGAATACAGATATCACGACAAGAGAGTACGATAAATGGTCTGGAAGACACATCATCCCCAAGGCCATAAGTATATCTCTCTCTACTCGTACTCGCACACTTCAGCACAGTATATAAGGCACCATAATAACCTCCTTCCAGAAATCGCCCCCCTCCCCCACAATCGCTACCATACCTATCATACCGATACCGTACCCAAACCACCGGCCAACCCCCCCATCCATCCATCCATCCATCTACCAGTCTAATCTATCCATCAATCTCCGCCAAAGTAACGCAAAGTAACACAAAAAAACCGATAAACCAAAGGAAAAGGGTAAAAAAAATATAAAAAAAACACACACCAGATCCTCGGGTTTCCATTTCCCCAAACTTTTTTTTTTTTTGCAAAACCGATACCAAACTGCCGTGCCGTACCGTAGCTGAAATTGATCCATCCATCCATCCGGAGTCCACGCCAAGTAGCATTTCCCATTCGAAACAGATGTTGGCGGTAACAGGTAACAAGCGTAACTTGGCGATCTTCAGAGGGCGGAATGAGAGAATGAACGAATGGATGAATGAATGAAAGGTTACCTTGGTCTTGCTTGATACGGGTACATCCCCGGCGGGATACAGTAGCTTATTTATTCATTTATTTATCTATCTATTTATTGCGCGGGCACTAATGAAATACCTCCGCGATGGGTGTCTATCGTTCTGCATACTATATAATCCCCCGGACTTTTTTATTTTTTACCCCCCACCCCCCCCCCCTTTTTTTTCTTACCTTTGTGTGTTTTTGTGTGTGTATGTATTGTATGAGTGGTCCAGTCAAGGTTTATGATTGTCAAAGGCGGTGAATTTCGTGATGGGGATCGTAATTATCATTTTTGGTTTCTGGTCACTCACTCCAGGCGTCTGCGGACGGATCGGGAAGGAGGTGAAGTGTTCGTTACCGTAACGGTGCCTGTCGGGCTAGTTGGTTATTATACCGGTAATGGTAGGGTCTCTCGTACCTTGGTGTCTATCAATTCACTTATCTATTTCTCGAAATGGGCGAGTGCTGGAATACAGTGCTATGGATCGTGAGGTGGATTTCACTGTACCACTATCACACTTATTATCATCTCCTTATCACTCCCCCCTCCCCGGTTCAGAAGGAGCAGGTGAAAAACAGTGTATCCCCCCACCGGCTCTCGTTTAATCATCTTATTTGATTCGATTTTCTCCATTTTTTTTACTTTTTTTTTTTAAGAGAAAAAACTCCCCTCTTGAAAAATACTGGAATAATAATCAAAATCTCCACAACCCTGTACCGTACCACCTTGAAACCCCACTACCAGAGACACGCATAAGATAAGCATCCATCTTACTGAGCGGGCATTGATCATCGATCCCACCAGCCCCCCCCCCTCCCAACTTCGAATATATCAAAAAATCTCCCTCTATTGTCGACAATATAGTCATCTTCTTCTCTTAGGAAACGCGTAATTCCGACCTAGTCTGTTAGTTAGCCTGTGGCCTACTCACTTACCTACCTACCTACCTAACCCATGGATAAACTATGATACAGGAAAAAAAAAAAAGCCTCACGACTAGCACATAACTTCTCCCAAACATGTACAGTACGGTACGGTACAGTATACAGAAGGCAAAGTCGTGCTATGGAAATGGGGAACCAACGATTTTTCCGAGAAGGGGGGGATGGAGGGGGGGGGGGGAATTTGTGCTGTACTGTAGAAACAAACTAGCAAGCAAGCAAGATCCACAAATACGATGGATGGAGCACCATACCGGTAGGTAGGCCATTGAGCGATTGATTTCCCGGACGGAGATGCGATACGGATATCTCCAATGCTCGGGCGATCACTCAATCGCTGTCTCAAGGGACGGCAAAAAATGTTCTAGCGGCCGGTGGAGTGGGGAAGGGGGTGGAGGGAAGGAGGGAAGGAGGGAGCATTCTACCCGTACGGTACGGTACAAGTACCATTGCCATGACCATAGCCACGATATGACGCCATAGTATAATAATAATAATAATAATAATATTATGGAAAGCAGAGCAAAAAAATCTAAAAAACTATGCGAGTACAGTACCACTAGTGATCAAAACTCACCCCTAGTATCCGGTATCCCTCACTTGTATGGATAGATAGAAAAGAAAAGAAAAAAAGGAAAAAAACAATTAACCTACCGCCCACCAGTATCATACTTTGTACTCGTACACAAGTCCGCGCCTACACGTGTAAAACCCCAACCGCTGACTAGACTGGAAACCGAGGTATAGAGGGAAAAAGAGATATGATAAGCTAAAATCAAATGAAAATTAAAAAGATCCCAACAGGCAGGCAGGTACGCACGCGGGTAACTCTACCCAGGCCGTGCGCTACAAGACATCAAGCCGCGGTGATGGACCGCCTGTAGGTTAGCCCCGAAGCACTGTTCAGCAATAAATAACAGTGATAAAGTTATTATTATTGTGGAAATGTCAGCGAGGTTAGTCGAGGGGGGGCCAATCATATCGCAGTTCCTGAGATGTGGTTAACCAAAGTGAGGAAATGGCAACGACACGACACACCACACCGCCAACCAATCAACGGACCGACCGAGCTCCCTCCCTCCCTTCCTCCCCGTCTACTCCTCTTCGTATGAAAAAACGTACCACACCCATAGGCGGATATATATCCCTCAGAGAAAGTGAAAGATAGACCTGACAAGAATACGCACAATCAAATTAAACCCTGTGGGTCTGTGGGGATTAATTCCCATCTTGTTAACTGCTACCGAAAAGAAAAAAAGAAAAAAAGGAATCAGTACAAGAAGCGAGAGGATGACGAGTTAAGCCTGTGCAAATACAAGGAAAAAATAGGGTATGAGGTTCGACGTGGTTGTCTAAGGATATTCACAAGATTTCTATGGAAGGGAGAAAAGGAGGGTTGATCTTCACATTTCGTAATATCATGAACAGCCGTGGTAATCCATCAATAAAGGAATGCAACCGAGGTGAGATACTGAATGAGCAAAGGAAACCAAAGAGATACACCGCACCGAGCCCAAGCTCCCTCCCTCCCTCTCTTCTCCACTCCACAATACCCTTTGTCGCATTCGCCATATTGGAGGTTCTAGGGAATAGGTGTTTAGCAATAGAATGGTGGTTGGTATTGAGAGATCAAACAGCAAAAAACACTAATTCATGTGCGAGGAAGCATCACTATTCCAGAATGCACAGAACGCTCAAACAAAGGGGGAATGGGGTAAAATGAAACAGCAAGGTATCATCAACTAAAAGGATAATGAAAATGAAAGCAAACTCCAGAATGCCCGTTTTGGTTGTCAGACCAAGTGCCCGCCACCCACACGAAATGCAATCACAACCATCCGTCACAAACCCTTTTTGAAAGACTTGACAGGGTAGTGTGATGTATCGACACATTGAGGACCCCACTTGCTCGTGCCGAACAAACCCACAAAGTATACACACGCGACCGGCAACAGGCGATCGGCCCAGGAAGAAGAATGTCGGTAAAAAATGAAAAGAAAAAAAAAAGAAAGTCGTGATATAAATTCACAAGCTTCCCAGAAGGAGCTATCGTGAAAAGAACATATGGAAGAATTAAGCGGCTGAGAGAGACGTCTGCTTAAGACGCTCATCCAACCTCTGGATGTCTTCCTCTGTCGGCTTGTAAGGTGTCTTTTTGGGACTATTTGCAAAAACAGTCAGTAATTATCACAGGCAGATGCAATGGACTCAAAACTTACGGATCCCTCAAGCCCGTATCATCTCTATTACTACCACATCCTTCACATATCTTGGCTTTTTCAACAAAGGTGGTAGAACATTTCGTGCAGATCCAGTGAACTCTACGGCGGGGTTTCTTGTAAGTACGACGGGGGCGGGTAGGAAGCTGCTTGTCCTCTTCACTATCTTCGGGATCCAATCCGTCATAGTATCCGGGCGGTTTGTTCTTCTTGAATCTGTTGCTCGCAAAAATTATTTAGTCCGAATACCCACTAAACATTTAGGATTACTTTGGGTCACTAACGGCTCGCGTGGACAATTCTTGCATCTTGTGTGACTGCACTTCCTGCAAATCTTCTCCCCAGCAAAGTCGGTCTGACAACGATGACATTTACGATGAACCCTCTGGCGAGGAGGCCTACGAACGAGGTCCTGTCCACCGGTACGACTGGGAAGCGTGAGAGGGACGCCGTAGGCCGGCTTCTTCTTCTTCCGTCCAGCTTTCTGGAAAGACCTCTCGCCAGACTTCTCACCAACTTTCTCCTTGCCCTTGCCCTTATCCTTTGGCTTCTTGGCACTATATACCCAGTCGAGTCAGTTAGATATCACCACCAATCTCATCCTAGACGACGACGACGGAAGTGCAAACTTACGGTTGTCTAGGGCACTTCTTGCACCTCTTGTGATTGCACGAATTACAGATCTTGTCAGGACCGAAAGAAGTCGAGCACTTATGGCAAGTACGATGAACTCTCATTCGAATATCCCTTTGAACACGATCGCCGGGAGGAACAGTCGACAAAGGCCAATCAGATGTAGAAATTTCCAAACCGTGCTTCTTGAAAAGCGCATGAGCACGCTCGGCAGCAGTCATGGCAGGTGGAGTGGCCGTAGTCCTAGGTTGACGAACAGCGGGTCTAGTCCGAGTCCTGACCCTTTCCTGCTCCACCTTCTCCTGGGTCTTTGGCTCGGGCTTCGGTTGAACGACAGAGCTCGATGCCGGCCTATTTTTTTGCAATGTTAGTCACGAACAAAGGAAGATTTGGCCCTGAAGACCTTGAAGCCAAACACCGGGGCGTGAGCATACTCAATTGGGGGAATAACAGCGGTCGGCAGCAGAGGTGTAACCGGAGTAGTGGGTTCACCAGTAGTATCCGAAACGATCGAACGCCTTGATTTGCCCGACCTAATGCTCAGAACCCTCTTGACCTGAGTTGTAAACCGCTTGCGTATGGATCTCTCTCCACCGCCCGAGCCATCAGGGGGAGGTTCACTGGACATTGTTGCAAAAAATCCACAGTACCGATTAACGAGTCGTTGTATCGGGGTTCAAACTTTGAAGTGAAGGACTGTGGGGGGGAGGTTGTTGTAAAGAGAAGGGAAGATCAGGCCGTCGAAGTGGCGGTTGATCCTGGAGGCGGTGTGAGACGAGCTGGGAAAATGAACTCGGCTGGCGGATTGGGAGGGGGGGTGAGAGGGTAGAAGAAGGGGGAAGGAAGAGGTGGAGGTTAAGACTACCGTGGGTGCAACACAAATTGACGGGTGAAGCGAGGAAGTACTCGAGTAAGACGAGACACAACGTGGTAAGGTGTGTGGTTGTTGGGCCCAATAATTGCTGAGTGGGTGACGAGGTGCAAGAGGGCGAGCAAGCAAGCAAGTCCAACGACCAGCAGACAGGCAGGATATCAAGCGGTAAGAAGGAAGGCCTGCCGGTGCCTTTCTTTTCTTTCCTTTTCTTTTCTTTTTTTTCACTCTCTCCCCCTCCCTCTATCTCTCCCTCTCTCTTCCCTTTTTGCTGACCCTCTTTCCCAGTTTTTTGGTCTCCCTCCCTATCCGCCCCGATGGGAACTAGAACCGCCAAAGGTTATTACCGTACTTGTATTATGAGACAGCCTTGGGCAGGTGTCGCTTAGCGATTGCAATCTCTCGCCCAGAGACCGGTTCACAGTGGAGAGGGTTCGTGCGACCAGGGGACCGGGAGCGAATAGGAACTTAAAGAGGGTGAAAAAAATAGAAAAGGGTTCAATACCTGCAGACGTATTCAATTCTCGCCTCAGTCAACCGGCCACGCAGAAGTCCTCGCTGGTTTTAGAGGCGAGAACAGCCTACGGTACCCTACACTCAGCGAGAACGGGAAGATATGAGGGAGGCAAAGGTAAGGATCGGGATGGGTGGATGAATGGGGGATGGGTACGGTAGATATGAGGTGAAGTGCGCCTCTGGTGGATGTGGTGCTGGTTGGGACAAGAAGGGAAAGGCGGGAAAGTTAGAGTAGAATGGAAGGAGGAGCAGCGGGTGGCTCCTCGACTAACGGTAGCTATCGTGCCTAGAAAAATACAGACATACTTGCACGAGTACTAGTACGAGTACAGAGCTAAAGATCTCCAAGAGCGCTCGATTACAGTGCTTAAGTTACATAGCGAGATGAAGCGATTTTTCATGGTTCCGGCACCGAGAGAAAGGAAGGCCAAATCCCGGCAACCTTTTCTTTCTTTCCTTCTTTCTTTCTTTTTTCTTTTTTTTTATCCCTACCATTCTACTCGAGGACCGTATTACCGTACTCCTGCCATACAGACACACGTACATGAAATAGACACGCAAAAGGTGGAAAAGAGAGCGAGCAGCATGAAGAAGGTGAGGGAAGGGCACACAGCCAGCCAGTGGGCAGCCTGGACAGCCATTCAGAGAAAAGAAGGCTAGTCCGGCAACCGCAAAAATATTCGGCTGTTTGTCGAGCATGCAAGCCGGTGGGGCGCCTTCTGGTTGGATGGAGGAGAGGGAGAGGAGGAGGAAAAGGGCAGTTCACAATACCGGTAGAGCTTCCCTGTGCTCCCGATTCGGTTGGCTAAAGGAAATTTTTTGAGTCGGTCAAGACGAAACACCACTCTCTAGGGGCAATAGCCTACCAGGAGGGCTGGACCGGATGGATATCAAACCTTTTTTCCATTAAGACCAGAGTTCTTGAGGTCTCTAAGAACACAGGCCCATTTTTGCATAGACATTGCTAGAAATGGCGAAGCCTCTGGACCGTGCTGAACCTAAAATGTTTCTCTATTCAGCCCAAATGGGCCTCCAGAAGTGTTCTATCTTGGTAAGGTTAGGGTGCAGCTGCGCGAAGAGGGCAGGTTGCTGGGATCAACACGAGGGGAGGAGGGGCTGGGCTTGCACAAACAGAAAAAGAGGCTCGAATCATAAACCAAACCGGCCCTTTTGTGGACAACAGCAGATTAATGAAGCCCCAAAGCTGTGGTTCTGTGGTTCCCATTTCCCACCCTCCCAAGCAAGCAAGCGCTTTAAACTTCACACATACGCTTACGGCATACAGATCATTTATCATAGTACCGACACTGTGCCCCCACCGCCATTGCGCACAGCGCAATTAGCATACTTGTGCCAAGGGAAAGTATCCGGCTCTCCTGCGCCGCCCATCGGCAGCGTAAAGGATGAGCTCTAGGGGGCAGTCTCACAGGTCCCAAGCAGGGTACCTATACGAGTACTCGAGTAGAGTTGTATGATATGGGCCATTTGAGGTTCGAGCCAGAGAAAGGAGAAGTGTCGCGGTTAAAAGAGGCGCGCGCACATGAACTTTCCTCAACGATCTGCTCCTGTTACGGAGAGGAAAAGAAAAATAACCATGGAAAATACAATCTTAAATGAGCACAAGCACTACGAGTACTACCTACGACGCCATCCTGATCTACCGGTACAGTACCGTACTTCTAAACTCTTGCAAACATAACATAATCCGCACCCCATAGCGGCTACGATAGCGCCAATTTCATCCGATACTTTTCCTCGACGAATCCTTACCCTACTCTTGCAACTACTCTTGAGCGGTGCCGACATATTGCTGCTCATGCAGGAGCAACAGATACCTTCGAAGGGTCATCTGCATCGTACCGTGGGCGACCGTGCCGTGTGTGCGAAGAGAGTAAAGACGGGAACAAAAAGAAGGCCGTGTGGAACTTTAGCCAGGGTCGGCGAGTCGATCACTCGGCTCACTCTCACAATTAATCTCCAGTACCCAGCTGAGTTTCGTATGAGCTGTACTCGTACTTGCACTCGTACTAATACTTGTACCTCTTCTCACATGCACCGGTCTCACAGAGTGAGATCCCTCAGAATAATAATAATTAACATACTTTTTGCGAGTGAATGTAAAAGCACAGCACCGCAAACCTCCAAAGATACCAGATATATCCATACGGGTAAGGAATGGAATACCGGCAGCGCGGTGAGGGAATCCCTCGGTTAACATTCACTGGGGGGAGGGGGGTAAACCACCGAAATGCATCCACTCGAGCCCCGGCAGTCCGTGGTCGAGTTACCGGCATTCCCAAATCTTGACAATAGCTGGGCATACACGTACTCGAGTACTTGCACCGATGCTCTCTTCGCCAAACTAGCGCTCCACCCTCCATTCTTTTGTGGGGCGTGTGAAGGGGGTTTCAGTGGGGCGGGGCAAGAAAAGGGAGAACCCATCCAATTATCAGCGTAGCTCAGGGTGCCGGCAAGTCGCAAGGTATGATACTTGTATTACTGTATGTTCCTTCAACTGATGCAGAATGCTTTGGCCATTTTATGAGTCGAGGCAAGCTGGGCTCCCAACGCAGATATCAGACACTCAGGGATTGGGGAAGTAACAAAGTCTTGCTTGTTTGAGCAATTTTCATTCCAAATTCGTTTTTTATTTCCTATGAGAGCGGTAACGGTCAGGCCTCGAGAATCCCTGGGCGTACAAGTATGAACGCCCAAGTCTGCACCCGAGTACCGTAACCTAAAATGCGACCGAAAGCTGGCTTATGATAGCACTGGGAAAGTGCCTCGGTGATGCGCACCGCCAGATCGGATAAATGATGCAGCGGCCGAAAAAAAGAAAAGAAATAGACAAAGACACACACCACCTCACACACCCAGACACACATGTCAACCCGCTCCTCCGGGATAAACCATCAATTTTGTTTGGAGGGATAAAACGGCTGTCTCCCGAATGGAGGAACCTTTCTACCAATCATCAGCATGCCTTAAATGTCAGAATCTAAATCCCTTAGGAATACACACCCTGGATCTGGGTAAATTCCGCCCGTTAGGCCCCGCATAAAGGGGAGCCGGAGAGGAAATCAATTTACGTTGCCTACCGTGTCTATCCGTATGGGAGGAGAGAAGAAGCATGATACCTTCAACGTCCGAGGACGCAGCATCTCGGAGGTTGAACTGTGGGTCTATTGCCTTCTTACGGCAGCATCTTTCGATTGCGCCGTGTCCAGCTAGACCGCCTATGTCGTTGTGTCATCTGGCATACGGTGCAGTAGCAGGACGGAGATAACGGGACGGCATTGTGCAGTGAAATAGCTCCGCAGTTCAGGGCTTTCTCCCTGCTAGTATGTGGGCATCCAGACGACCCGGAGCAACCACGGAAAAAAGGCGGATGCAGCAGATAACAGCATCACGAGCAACTACCCACCGGAACCCTCGTCCCAAGAACCGAGAAGTGTCGGTGCGCATTCGTTCCTCTCCCATGGGGCCACCGCACACTTCCACTCTCTGCTGTTCAGGGTCGGTATCCGGTAATTTGGAATTTGGATTTCTTCCCTCTCACGATGCCGATGTCCTCTCCAAGCCCCAACTGCTGAGCGTGCCCTCGAGCCACTCCCAACAAACGCTCCACTGGGAAATTCACTATCTCGGAGAAACAGCTCCTCTTTTTAAACCTCGATATAATAACCCCCCCCTTATGCATGCAGTGGTATGAACGGGGCGGTTTGACCCTCTGAACGTGGAATTTCACTGGGTAGGATTTGGTGCATGCACCCATCCGCCACATGTCGTAGATCCCACTTCATTTATTACCGAAATTCCGTGAGCGAAGAATTGACCCCTTCAAGAAAAATGATGGTTGGAATGGTGCGTGCTGCCTTTTCAGACAAGGATGGGGGAGCCCGGCCACCAGCCAGCGACCACCAAAGGTGTCGGCTGCATTCTTTCCTCTTTATATTTTTCGCATTTTTTATTCTATATAACTTCACACTCTGCGTGCTGTGAGGCTATTTCGGATTTTGCACCCGGTTGTCGATATTTCGAGTCCCCCCCCCCTCAGCCAAACATATTGCATACGACGAAATGAGCAAAACGGTAGTTCTCCTCTGGGGATTGGTGACGTCTAGAGGCCTTACACTTTGATATTTTTCCGCGGGAGGCCAAGGCGGGGAAGGCTTGAATTCAAATCATGGGGGTGGAACGGGGCGACAAAGTCCAGGCATAAACACCTTACTTGCATTCTACGGTAAGAATACCGTAAGCAGCGGGAATTGTTACGCCCTGGGTGGCTGTACGTTTGCTCAACCTGAGCTCCGTTCCGCGCTCTAGCAGATTTCGGATAATGATACATATGCGGTGAGTTGTTTGTATGATGATGCCGGGCGATACGGCTGCCATTTCGTATATGCGAAGTAGTATTATTAAATTTGCGGATTATTATTATTATTATTATTATTATTATTCTGTGTGGGATGATTTGGAGCGTGTCATACCAGTGCTGGTGCAGTACTCGTAGCAGTGGTAAAACGCGGTAACCTAGGGGACGTTACAAGTACTGTAAGCTGCCGCCGAGTTGCCGCTAGGGCATTGTCAGAGTGGGCTACGGTACTCGTACGGGTATCATATCGTGATACGAGCACCGGTGCGGTCACCAGTCGGAGCATTATGTCTGCTCGTTAGCGCACGGATACTGTACCGGTACAGGTACTCGTACAGGTAGATCCGTCCCCCACCCTGTCTCTACTCTACTGTACGAGCACTCGTACAAGTGCTTCTCAGGGTTTGAAACATCAGGCTTCTCCCTCTCTCTTCCTCAAACGCTAATGACAATGGCCGTGCGGAGTCATTCGCCTGGCAAAAACGGGAAACGCGGTGAGCATTTGGTTTAGAACTCGAGGGGCCTAGCCCAGAACGAGACATGTCCGAATGAATTCTCCGCGCCCGCCGGAATTTGTGCGAAGGTCCCTTTAAAAAAAAGAAAAAAAGAAAACCATGGTTCGCCGCATCCCCCCACCAACTCATTCGTTCCCTTATATTTTTTTATTTTTTTTCCGCATTTGCCGATCTCTAAATAAAAAATGTGCAGCGGAGTATGATACCGTACCAGTATTCGCGCTGAGTCTCGCCATTTTCCCTTGGAGTGACAATTCTTTAGTAGAAGCTCGGACGACGATACCTTGCTCCCCTAAAAGGATCAAAAGTTTGCCCGATTGCCATTGAGGCTTTAAATTTTTTCGTTGGCAACGCTTTTTTGTTTTGCCTGCATGCATCCGTTTCGGGAATCAGCTTCGGCAGCCTAACCTAGGGCCCTTTCCCCGTCACCAATCATCACCCTCTCCAAAACGGTGGTTTGGAATCCTCAGGCTAATACCGTATTGGCAGACCCAAGTGGTGGAGGGGAGAAGGGAGTCGTGGCGGCTGCTGGGCAGACCCCATGAGGACGGACCCTCCTCCTGCTCCTTCTCCCCTCACTCGATCCCCCAAAACGCACAAATTGGTGGAGGAGAATCCGGGCCGTGGCAGGTGGGCATGACAACGCATCGCCCAGCCTGCGGCATCCCCATCGGGC